TGGGATGCCAAGGCAGAAGAACAGAGAGTTCAGGGTTAACATGGGCTATATATGGAGACCTGTCTCGAAGAAACAACAGAAACAAAACAAAACAAAACAAACCCTGAAGAAACAGAAGAAACAGAAATCTTCCCGATGCCTTGGCATCACCCACAAACATATTGTCTGGCTGCTCTATGGACTGAAGGTACGCTGGTAGTTTCCACAACTGTCCCAGGTGAGAGCAATGTGCAGGAGGACTCTGCATCACCTTTAGATTTGACACAAGCGTGTGAGTGTGTTTATATGCTAGTAGTACGTGTGCATACAAATGTGCTTGGGGTAGAATTCCTAGCTGAGAGCGTGGTAGGAATTCACACTTTGTCTTGGATTAATGCAGAAGCATGGAAGCAATGCAAACACATATGTCCATGTTGTCATAATTAATCCCTGCTGGTGGGTCTGTGCACACAGTCAAGGAGTCATGCCAAGCGTCTGGGACTCCAGCCTGGTTTTATTCCCTGTTGGCTTCATAGAATTCAAACAACAGGTAAGAGCGCCTGAACAACAGCTTCACCGGGGAGAAATTACTCCCAGTCACTCCCTCACACATTATGCATATGAAAGCACTTGTTGCACATAATTCTAAGGTTGACTTTCTCTATTCTAGCTACAAAAATGCTGAGGCCTGGGAGAATTTAACTGGCTTGTTCAGGACACACAACTAGGAAACTATACCCAGCCCACACCTTTTAACCTCCATTCTTTTTTCCTTTAATTATGCTGCTTTATGCACTCACCACCTAGGTGACCAGGCAAGAATGGGAGTGGGGTAGGACATATACACTCTCTCTGGGGATTGGGAATAATGAGAAGAGAGCTGACCTTGCTGAGTTTTCTTCAGCACACGACAAAATGTCAGACATGACGGTGAAGGTTGTTAACTTTGGCAAGAGGAGAGTACGGGCCAAATATGAAGCCAAGGATCCAGAGTAGATGACAGGGTTGGAGAAAAAACTGGGTTGGTAGTTCATGTGCCTGGTGTGTGTGAAGCCTTGTGAATTCATTTCAGTACCCAGTGTTTGAAATGAATAAATGGAGCCGGGCAGTGGTGGCGCATGCCTTTGATCCCAGCACACAGGAGGCAGAGGCAGGCAGATCTTTGTGAGTTCAAGGCCAGCCTGGTCTACAGAGCAAATTCCAGCACAGGCTCCAAAGCTACAGAGAAATCCTGTGTCAAAAAACACAAAACAAATAAACAAAAAATTATAGATGCAAATGAGTCAGCTCTAGCCCGAGCTGTCTCCTAAGCGGTCCCAAGCAACACAAACTTATTATGCTAGACTCCTTTTCTTTGAAGTCAATGATACTGTCTATAGAAAGATAATCTTCAACATAGCTAGATAGTAAGCCAAATGGGGAAGAGATCAAGGATTCTATAGAACACAAAGCCAACACCAAAGCTGATCATAGTAGGCACTGGAAGACTTGTTGACATAGACTGCTAGGCTCCATAGTACCTAAGCTGTGGGTTGGGACAGAGAATTTACATTTTGAAAAGCTCAGAGGTCAGATTGATCTTGCTGGTCCGGGGACCATACTCAAGGAACCATGAGAACACAGGAGGTATTCACTAGTGCCACTAAGATGCCAATGCTTTCGGCAGCCACTTCCACTCACATCCCTTCTTCTAAGTCCTATTTCTGCCCAATTTAAAGAATTTCCATAGTAAAAAGTTCACCATTGAGGCATAACCAAATTCTTTGTTCATTAATTCATTAATTGCTTGTAAGAGAGGCAAGCTCTCACATTCTCAAATACCCGGGTGAGGAAGCCTAAGTTCAGACTGTTCCACATGGGGAGTAGCAACAGAGGAACATTCTAGAGAGACAGCCATAAAAGCATTTCACAGGAGCAAATTAAGTTTAGAAAAACTATGAAAAAACAAAATTAGGTTTTTAATATAGTTACCGTGCAGCACTCAAGTGTGAGGCTTTTGCCAAAACAACATGATTGTGTTTCTGCCCCATCTGCCCTCTAGGACATAGATTGAAGTTCCAGCAAAATCCGTAATGAGAAATTTGCAGCGTGGGATGCTAAAAGGTGGGTAAGTAGCATGTGATTCCCAGATCCATTTCTTACTCGCCATGTAGAAGGCTCAGATCCTAACAAGATTAGCAATTTGCAGAAGGTACATTAAACAGTGAACGTTTCTAACTCCCGAAGAAAGTGCCTTAGCCTGTTGAGGCTTGTTCCCACAAAGTGTCTTTAAAATTGTTGGTGACCACATGGCCCTACTTTCCCCCTCTTCTTCCTATCTTTAGAAGTCAACAGACTGATTTTTCTTTCCAAACTCTGGTATGTATCCCACCATGTACCCTGGTTAGATGACTTCTCACTTTCCTCTAGGATGGAAAGGTCCTATTACACTACGGTCAGCAGCCACCTCCATCTTGAGTATGTGATCTTTAGAACACAGCTAGATGACCCACTCTGATGGAACCCATGCCCTTTGGTATAGAAGTCCCTCTGAGAGCTGTCTTTGTTAACAAGAGGGAGCCTGGGTAGTGACGAGAAGGCCAGGCTTGGACAGTTCGACAGTCCTGGAAGTGTAGAGCTGTCACTGAGTTTGCTCTCATCACAGCATGGAAACCTTAGGGATACACAAATGCCTGAAAACTGCTTAACTTAGAGGTGGAGAACACAGGAGGAGTGGCAGAGAACAGCTGTTGCACTCACCTGCCCAGGCTGCTCACACGCTGTCTGGTACCTGGCCTGCTGGCACAGTTCCTTGACCCTCTCATATTTGGGCAAGTGGTTTGACTGTTGGATATTCTTGCTGGATTCCTCCTTCTTTCGTAAAAATTTCCTTTGACAGAAAGAGAAAAGCCTCTTACTGGCGAACCACCTGGTCACCTTCCCAATGCCCTCATGCCCTCCTCCCTGTCACAGCAACTCAGACAGGACTGCACAGATGTGTACTGCTGTCTGCAGGAGCCCATTGTAGGCTGAGTCCTTTGTAAGCCTTACAACTGCAGTGCTGTGAAGATGTAGAACCAGCTCAGCTCTGCATAAATACTCAAGGTTTGTGGGTGATGGCACACAACTTTAATCCTGGCGCTCAGGAGGCTGGGGCAGGAGGATCTCTGTGAGTTTCAGGCCAGCCTTGTCTACAGAGGGAGTTCTAGGACAGCCAGGGCTACACAGATAAACCCTGTCTCAAAAAGCCGAAACCAACCAAAGAAACAAAAACCTTCCAGGTTATCTTTGTAAATAAACAAAATAAAAATTATGGTTAGCTAGTGGCAGTTTCTGCCCAGCTATGTCACTTCCTGGGATCTCATGACAACTCCTCTCTGCCTACACTTCCCAGAATCCTCCTCATATCCTAGTCCTACCTATCATCCTGCCTGGCCAATCAGTGTTTTATTCTTTAACCAATAAGACAAACATATACACAGAAGGACTTTCCATATCATCTCCTCTTTTCTGTCTAAATAAAAGGAAAAGTTTGAACACTAACATAGTAATTTACACAAAGACAGAAACAAAGCAATGCACATCACAGATATCCCAGAAGTGACTATGCAAAGAATTACAATGACACTAGTGTATAAAAGTTAATGGAAATGTATAAAAGTCAATAGTTCCTTATAAAAAGAAATAAAGAAAAAGACATATCAAACAGGGTACAGACAAGGCTGGCTATTGACTTGCTAAGAGCCCAGGCTGAGAAGTGTCACAGTGACTCTGCACCCACAGAGAGACTTTAGTCCCATCTTAGGACAATCTACATTTTAGAGTTCTACTATAGTAATAATGATTGCTGCCTGGCAGAGAATAGACAATCAGTGATTCAAACAGTGGGGCCAGGGAGATGGCTCAGCAGGTAAGTGCTTGCTGAGCGTGACTGACAGCTGAGTTTGGTATCCAGAACCTATGACAGCAGAGAACTGACAAATGTGTCCTCTGATCTTCATATATGTGCCCTGTGCACACACATGCACGTGCACACACTCACTTATAAAATTAAAAGTAAAATAGCAAAATTAAACTTGCAACTGGGCTTGTGAAATCTGCATGCTTAGTAAACCACAATAAGAAGTGGGGAAAAAAAATACTGCCCGCTAGGACCGGTTCCCAGAAGCACCCCAGGAACCAATAATTACCCTCTTTCCACTAGGAACGTATCACGCCAAATTTTGGCCTTCTTGTTTGTTCGAAACCTGAAAGCAAAATAATAATATTTACTGTTAGCATCTGGATGCCTTCCCAAATGGATCTGTGCTAACAGTTTATTTGAAGAAACACCTCCCACTTCCCACAGACCATGACTGCCTCTCCATCAATGCGCAATTCACAAACAACCGAGAAAGGCTGAATTTGTAGGAATTCTTGTGGAGAAAACTTATTTTCCTGCCATGGTTTTCAGCACTGGCTGGCTCTGTGTACCAGCAGGAGCTTGGTGCCTTTGGGGGCTGGTTGAGGGAAGGCATGCTGACACACCTGTTACCTGGCTTTTCCAGGTCTAGAAGTTTGAGGACAGACTTGCCATCGACATCAGGAGGAGTGTCAAGCCCTGCGATGTCTAGGATAGTAGGGGCTAGGTCAATGTTCAGAACAATCTGGGGGACTCTGTGAAGAGACAGATGGTTCAGGTTATATCTTAAGCAGGTAGCAGACATCCACAGAGAAGCTTTTTCACAGCCATGGCTCATCCACCCTTGAGACTCTCCTCAGTCTCATCTGTTCCCCAAGGGAGGAGTGAGTTGTAGACAGCAATGGTACTGTGTGCTTTCAAGGGGATCAGAGCTGGAGAGATGTCCCCTGACCATTGTGTATTGAACACACAGCCAGGCAAGATGTGTATTGGTACCTGATACTTTTAATTTTTTCATTATTGTTTTTAATCGTGTGGTGTGTGTGTGTGTGTGTGTGTGTGTGTGTTTGTGTGTGCATGTGCACATATGTGTGAATGCATATGTGTGTTTGTATGTGCGTTTGTGCATTTGAGGTGCCTTCAAAACCCAAAGATGTCAATTCCCTGGAGCTGGAGACACAGCTAGTTATGAGCTATCTGATGTGGGTGCTGGAAACTGAGTGGGCTTCTCTACCAGAGCAGTAAATGCTCTTAACCATGGAGCTATCTCTCCAGCCCCAAGGTGTGTGCGTGTGTGTTGCTTCTCCTAAAATGCAATATTCCAAAACTACTCTTGAGTTAAGCTGAAAAGTAAATATTGTAAGGAACCACACCATTTTTAGTTTGCCTTATGACCAAGACCTTCAATGTACAAAGCTAACTACAGATGACTACACCCAGACGGTTTCTAAAGGATTTTTAAAATTAATTTTAAGTTAGCATACAAAGAAATGAATTTCCTTATGGCATTTTGAATTATATTCCTGATTTCCCCACACCAATCTCTCTTTGGTCTCTTACTGGCATTCAAATAGTCTCCTATTTGCTTTCCTGTACCATATATTCCATCTCCCTTTCCCTGTAGTGATTTTTTTTTTCCCCGAGACAGGGTTTCTCTGTAGCTTTGGAGGCTGTCCTGGAACTAGCTCTTGTAGACTAGGCTGGTCTCGAACTCATAGAGCTCCACATGCCTCTGCCTCCCAAGTGCTGGGATTAAAGGCATGCACCACCAACGCCCAGCCTCCCTGTAGTAATCTTAATAGACATAGAACCTTCTTCAGAAAACTCTTTTTCCTCCCATCATCTATCCCAGCAGCAGATAAGACCCTATACATAAATTTCATAATCCTGGGCTCTGGGCTACAATGATGCCACTTCTGGCATCAAGAATTCTCAGACACCCACAGCCAAATACTAAGCAGAGCCAGGGGAACCATGCAAAAGAGGGAGGAGGAAGGATTATAGGAGCCAAAGGGGTCAGGACACCAGGAGAACATGGCCCACAGAATCAACTGATCAGGGCTGATAGAGACTGAAGTGACAAACATGGAGCCTGTATGGGTCTGTGCCTGGTCATCTGCATATATGTTGTGTTTGTGAAGCTGAGTGTTCTTGTGGGAGCCCCCCATAGTGGGAGTGTGTGTGAGGGGGGCTATCTCTGATTTTCTTTTTGCCTGCTCTCAGGACCCTTGTTTTCCTCCTACTGGGTTGTCTCAACATTGATATAAGGGTTTGTACCTAATCTGATTGCATCTTGTTATGCCATGTTTGGTTGATATCCCTTGGAGGTCTGCTGTTTTCTGAAGGGTAATGGAGAAGCAGTGGCACTGGGGAGAGAGGAAGAGGGATGCCGGGAGGAACAGAGGGACGATCGGGATGCATTGTTTTAGAAAAGAATAAATAAACAGGAAAAAGATGGGAGGGGTGGAGAATTCTTGGGCAGGTTCTCATTCTGCCTGTCTGGTTTCTTGGTTTTACTTGAGTACAGGGCAGACAATATTTGGAATTCTACTCCCAAATTTTGTCTTTTACCATTTCTATAATTCTCTATACATATGATCTCAGTTTACTACAAAGCAAGTCAATATGGTAGGCAAAGAGCATGGACACCTGTGTCTGTGATGAGGATTCCAGTGAAGAAAGGGATACAGAACTAGTCTAAGTGACAGAAACAACTCATTTAAGTCTCTTTTATCTTAAAGGAAAACCAGGCATTTTAACTCTTAATTAAAAGCTAAGAAGATGACATTGGGCTTTATAAAAAGTGGCACTGGACCTCTGATTCAGAGAGGGGTGGTGTTCTCCAAGAGCACATTCTGGTCATGCACACAGGGCAAACAAACAAACACATGGCCTCTTCTCAGGTGGAGCGAACCAGTTACTGATACTTTAAACACTATAGCTGAGTTACTAGGTGGCAGGGAAGGTAAATTACCAACTCATATGTCTTCCTTTTTACTTCTGGATGGAAAGAAGCCCGACCTAGAGATTAGGATCTAAATTAGGTGTACAGAGAAATACAGAGAAATACATACGTCGACCCTGGTTCTATGCTTGGACCACGAATAAAGAAAGGCACACGGATGTCAAAGTCATATGGCATGGATTTCCCCTTGACCAGTCCAAACTGTCCAATGTGGTACCCGTGGTCAGCAGTGTAGATGATGTAAGTGTTGTCCAGCTCTCCCGTCTCCACAAGCATGTTGTATAGCTACAACAGAGCACAGGACAAGTCAGAGTCAAGTGTGACATGGGAAGTGATATGCCAGACCTTGCCACAACTTCCCTGGAAGGACTGACTGGCCTAGAACCCCCAGTGTTCCACCTGCCTCTGCCTCCCAGGTGCTGAGATTAAAGATGTGTGCCATCATGCCTGACTCTTATCATTTTTCAAAAACTAAGAGTTGCTTTAGTAAGGCTGGCAAACAGGGACATCATCCACATTGGGGAGATAACCCATACCACAGTCAAAATGTAACTTTATTTTTTAAATCTAGCAATTCTTCTTACAAAATTTGTTTCCTGTTTACTAAACAAGCAAACAACAAAACAAGTCATGAAACTGCCTCTTTCAACAAACTCTCTATATTTCACTTTGAAAAATGTATGATTAAAGCAAATTTTAACTTCCCTACTCCTTTATTTAATTATAAGGATAAAAAAGACCCAATCTGGGCAGATGCAATCTTTAAAAAGCCAGAAAATGTGATCATATTCATTCCCATTTTTATACAGCAAAGATGAACTGAATTGATATGTTACTGTTTGCATTAGATAGGGCCCTTAATTTTACTTTCACCACAGTTGTCACCAGTCCCTATTGCATTATATTAAACATTACAATAATTCTGCTTTAGTCACTGACATGATTTGTTTAATTTCTGAAAGCATTGAAGAGTATGAACCCGGGTTTGTGACATTTTGATTTTTCTGTCCTTCGTCAGTGGCTTCTTAAGAATCAAACTGGAAGAAATAGGATAAGGGGACAGGGATGAGGATGTCACTAAACACACTTGTTTCTCTCTCTTAACACAGTATTAGGAAACGAAAACTGGATGGACTAGAATGGATCCACAGGAGGAGGTTAGATGAGAACATGTCACCAAGAGGGCTGGTGGCCTTACCCTCTCTACAGAGTCATCAACTGACATCAGAGTCTGGAGTCGTTTGCGCTGGAGGACATTGGTAAACTCCATGTGTATGGGCAGCATGGGACCCGTATACTGCATGATCCAGTGTTTGTCCATGTTCGGTGCATAATTATAGCTTGGAGTTCTGAAAACATACAGAAAGCAGTCTTATCATATATACATTTTTACAAAAACTTAGTCACTTTGGGAAACATTTCAAGTTAAAGGTTGTGAAATAGTAACTTCTGAAAGATAATGTAACCGCTGCTAAAGTGTTTTTCTCCCAAGCATCATGAGATCTTGTTTTGAGACTGTCTGCAATCTTCACCACCCTAAACAGTATACATCCTCTGTAGGTATGTAAATTCACACCAATAATACTCGAACTGAACGTGCAATTAATTCAAGTTCATCCAGGCTCCATGAATGAAATGTGTAAGCAACATATGATGATGAGGGTAGGTGTTTCAGATTTACAGATAAAATGGAAATGCAGAAAGGAGTGGTCTTAGGATGACGTTAGCTCATGAATGTTTGTTGCTAATGAGCATAATAATAAAGTCACCGCATGCTACGTGGGTTGATGGTGCCTCACAGTCTCAACATATTAATCTCTTAAGATAATCTTATCGATCGCTCATGCATCTTCAAGAGATTAGCTTGTTCTTCATGTTGTATATTAAAACCATTAATTCAATTATATTTGCTAGAATTATAACCAAGACTATGCCCACAATTTACACATTTACCAATATAATACTTGCTTCATAGAGAAATCAACAGGGGTAGAGGACAAGGGTTTTGTTAGCTACAGAGAAGCAGGCCCTTTTGCTGTATGTAGAAAGGTTTCTTCTTGCCTTCATTTAATGGGTTGCAGAGATCAGCGGCATCAGCTACACAGCCCTGGGGACTCAAATGGCTGCTCAAAAAAGTCTTCTCTGATTCCCTGTGCTCCTGAAGCACAGGACTGTGTTAGCAAGATTCTTTTGTGTTTGTTTTGCTCTGTATATCCCTGGCTGTCCTGGTACCTACTTTGTAGATCAGGCTGGCCTTGAACTCAGAGATTGGCCTGCTCTGCCTTCTGAGTGCTGGAATTAAAGTCGTGTCCACCACTGTCTAGCATTAGCAAGATTCCTATACCAAGACAGTATTACTCATTCATTCAAGCCTTCTCTTCACATGCTATTAAAAGCTCACAGGAGTGTTTAATGTAAAGTATTACACAACTTATTATACATTTTAACTAATTTGATTGTCTCAGCTCTTTTGGTTAACATATTTATTATCCCCAATAACCTACTGTTACTTTATAGAAGAGGAAACCAAGGCAGGTAAATAACTTGCATAGTTTAGTAAAGATGGTGGAAGCATGTCTAGATTTTCACAGCTCACATACTTAAACAACATGAACAAAGGGACGAACAAGGGATGCTCAAGTCTGTGTGAGAACACTTTTAATATAAACCTCGGGTTTACAAACTGCCAGTCTCACAGAGAAAGTCACCAACTGTATTGATTGGGGCATCAGTTTACCTGTCTCTGTTTTGGGGGTAGAAGACAAGGAAGTCTGAAGGGGAGTCTGGAAACAGTCCCTATGAGCCTGGTAATTTCAGAAGACCTCTGCGAGTACCATACTGATTCTGTAGCACTGTGAACTTCCCACATAGCGCTTGCATGGTTGTCCTTGGGGATGCTCTTGTGCACACTGAGCAACAAAAAACGGCACCCGTTTTTCACCCTTTCTCCTGCCAGGAGGATTGCAGAGACCATTCACATTGTAGAAAGTCCTAGGTGGCAGGCTGCAAGCATCATCCTGTTACCTGGTAACTATCATGGTCACTACTTAAGCTCTGAAGATGCTATCCCCAAAGCACAGGTGATGCTTGGTAGAGGACAGGAGTTCCCACCAAAGGAACAACCTGAGAGTGGAAAGGGAACACTCCATTTGCACATGTGTGAATGGGTGCAAGGCACTCCTCTAAGAATTGCTAGAGCAGAGGTTTAGGAGTTTTCCTCCACAAGCCAGTAAGCAAATTCTTTTCATGTAAATATCTAGGTTGCAACAATGCCATAATATTAAACTGCAGATTCTTTGCATACCATCTGCTATTCTTTTCAAGAGGAACTTCCCTTCTCTCCTTTCCCTTTTTGAAACTATGTCAACGTCCAACATCAGTGTTTGCTGCCTACCAGATAGATGATTCTGGAGCCAACTGGTCCAGATTTTTTACTTGGAAGGATTCCTCCTTTCTAGAAAGGGGCCACAGTGGGAAGGCAGCACCCGGCAAGGACTGAAGTCTGCCTTTCTCATTGTCTATGCAGCACGCCGCGTTACAAACAGGATTAGATTTAGAAGCTGAGAAGGGCAGAGGGGCTTAAAAATCCCCATGCAAGGGTTTTGCACCCATGGGGAGAGGGGGTATGAGGTCAGAGAAAGACAGCACATTGGCCATAAAAGGTCTCCTAGCCATTTACCAATTGTGGTCCATGAGGGGGTACAGCTGTAAGAGATTACACAGGGGTTCTGTATAATACGCATCCTCCCCTCACCGCCTTTGAAGTTAGGTCAGCTTAATTTAAAAATAAATCTAGTTGACTTTTTTAAAACCACAAAACCTCAACGCAAATAAAAATTACAATAGGGAACCGACATGCAGGCTCACAGTGGGCAAATTACATCTTCCACCAGCTACCTTGATGTGCTTGGTGCAGCCCCACCTCACTTTGAGGAGCCGGGAAGCTTGCAGCAAATTACAAGCCTCAAATTGGACTCCTGGATTTACCGAATGACATATGTTAAAGCTGGCTTATATTAAAAGGGAGAGTTCAGGGCCTGTTGTCAAAGCTGTCTACCCCTCCCCCTGTAGTTTTCTGACTTTCTCAATATGGGAGATGACCTCTAGCTTGGAGGATGACATTCCAGGTGGGATCCCAGCGGGTAGCAGGGATCTGGGGCATACATTTGCTTTTTAAAGGAAGGCAGGCGGCTGCTGCTTCCCCACCCCCAGGAACAACAGCTGTTCAGGGACCTGCAGGTGGAGGGTCCAGGGTTGCTGGAATTGACAACATTGTTGAAAAGTGATGGTTTGCCAAAGCCTGTGGTTGCCTCCTGCTGAGGTCTGCCAAATTCCTTGAAGATGCAGCCTTCTGTCCCCCAGTGATAATTAAGGCTTGCTTGCCTTGGGACTGACTTCAACTTACTCAAAGAGGGCCTGGAGCTGTCACAGGGACAGCTTCACAGAGAGAAGTGGAGAACTCCTTGGAAAACAGGAAAAGTGTGTCTTTAGTTGTTTGCAATGCTTGAGAGTCAGATCTAATTCTTTGTCCCAGTTTTGTGAAGTACTACTAAATTATTCTGGACAGTTCTTTTTGCATGCGCCAGGTGTGCGTGTATGTGTGTGTGTGATGCTTCAGTTTCTTCTTCGTCTACACAATGGGAATAATGACTGTGCAGAACTTCTTGCGCAGAGGGTTGAGAGATTTTTGTGACTCTTGAACACAGCTTCTGGGGTCCCATTCTACTCTTGCTTACAGGTAGCCAGGCTAGCTCACCAGGGTGTCCCAGGCTAGCTCACTAGGGCATCCCACTCCCCTTGGGCAAAGGAGAAAGTGAAATGCCCAGAAGGATAGCTCAAGGCTACTGTTCCATCTGTGATGTCACACTGACCCAAGCTCCCAAGAACAGAGGTCCCCAAACTCCAGCTATTACAAGAACAGACTAGCGAAGATTTCCCTATGAAAAGGAAATCCTTTGGTCTTTAGCCTTTTACCCAATTTAAAGTGTTCTTCCCGCTCAGGAGCCTCCCACCCACTGCTGAATATCAACTTAAGCTGCAATTAGAGTCTGGCCCTAGGAAGTCCACTGGATACATTACCGAAAAGTGTGTAACCCTTAAAATAGAGACGATGAAGGATCAGATCACCATTTTTGAGTTTCTCTTCCTTCAGAACAAGACAAAAAAACAAGCCTCAAATCTATTTCAGAGGTGTCACTGTCTCAGATGGCCAGGTAGGTAAAAATTTCTGCCCTCGAAATGAATGTTTTAAGCAGATCTGTAGATCTCTGAAACACATCTGTATCTCTTCCCTGGCTATTCCTGAGCTGTATTTGCCTGAAGAGTCTTTCCTGCATGCTGCTTTCCCCTAGTTCTGCTTTTTTTGGGTTTCTTGCTCAGGACAGCTTCATACACCCGCCCACACACAAGTTCCATCCTCTACAGTATGCCAGTTTTCTTTGGGGTTTGAGTCACTTTCCAGTGTTACTTGTTGACAAAAGAAGGACAAAGCATCCTGAAAAATCAACAAATGCCACCTTTCTCTTTGGTGGGTAGGTATTTTAAAAAGAATGATTTTTAGTAGCCAAGAAATAGCTTCAAGAAATGCATGTGTTGTATATTAAATCCATATTGGGGAATTGTGAACTTCATCGTTCCTTTTGAATATTGATGGCTTTTGCTGTCGTTTCAGTGCAAATATATTCCTTTTGTTGATGTTCATCAGAACATCTGTTTTCTTTATTTGTTTTTTAGTCACAAGCACCAACAAAAAAAGACACTGATAGCATCATGCAGTGAGTAGTAAGGCAGGTCTCAGAGCTCAGCATAGCCCACCCCACAGGCCTAGGACACACTGGCAAAGCATCACATTGGAAACTCTATACTCACTCTCTCACAACCCATGCCATCTTCAATTTCATTCAAATTGAATTTACTTAATTGACTTTCTGGAGATATGCCCCACCTGACTTCAAATATCTGTAAGGCAGATAACATTTGAACACATGCAGAGTAAGACCAAATGATCTTGATTATAGGCATACAATAAAAATAGAGAATTGTTTAATGATGCTGGAAGTGCCAATTGGAATTATGCAAATATGTAAGAACCACTCTTACAGTCATTGTGGCTGTGACATGAACTGAGACAGGCCTGGAATAGTGGGAAGAGCAACGAGGCAAGGAAATTGACACCTGACTCCAACTTTGTTCCAAACTATTCATGTGTCCCGAACAAAGCCATTTAGGCTTTTATTAAAGCAAACAAGTGGGACTTCATTTTTTTTTAATTTAAAAAATTATGGAATCAAGAGAATTTCTAATTGATCTTTGAACTCTTAAAACGTACTCTTGAAGAATCCCAGTGCTATCTTTAAAAATATTTTCCTGTCAGCTAGCTGGTGAGGTCGACATGATTCATTTGGTAAACAGAATTTAATTTTACAACTAAACAAAAATCCAGGCTCTGCT